CCCCCAAACGTTGCACGTCTCACTCATTTGATCTCCCACCCGTCAGCAAGAACGGCTCGAAGAGAAGACGGAGGGGCATGAAAAATGCAAGAACGAGCAACGTGACACTCCTCTGCGGACTTTCTGTAGTTTCTCCGTATCCTCACTTAGAGTATGATGGCTAAACCTTCCACAACGTTCTGGAAGGTTCCGAATGAAGCCGAGTGTTCTGTGCCATCCTGGTCCTGCCTCTCTGTGTTACCCGCCTTTGCGACCTAGAAAAAATATTTCTTCAAACCGAACGCATCGTTTTGTGGGTTTAAACTTTGCGGACTTCTTCAAGCTTAAGCCGCCTTCTTTCATTTACTTGCTGAATATTTTTTATGTAGTGAACAAATAGTTATGCAGCGCTTACCCAGTTTGGGACACTATGCCAAGTGCTAACAGAGGTTGTGTGGGAGGGTGGGAATTAAAGAGATGACAGATGAAGATGGACTTTATATTACTATACAGGTGTGTCACCTCTATCCACTTAATGCCTGTCTTCTGGTGGGTTGATCTCTGCTCCAACCATCCTTGCACTCACTGACTCTACCACTCTATTATAAGCCTTTCAAGTATGGGGGCAGAAATTGCATCTACGTCTTTATAACACAGGAGTATTGCCTTTTGGTGAGTATCCGACACATGAATGCTGGTGGTCATGCATTCATCCATGCAGCAGATACCCACGCTGCCCTTGGGACTGAGCATTGCACAACGGGCAAGATCCCTGCACTCAGAGACCTTCCACGTTATTGAGGGAAAACGGAGCATTTAAAGATTAACAAAAGAATAAACAGCGACACCACACAATGGCAAGCAGGTGTGAGTACTGAGGGACGAGCAGGTGAGGGTGGGGTACACAAGCAGAACTGACTGTCACAGACTCGAGGAACAGTGAGGGCCTCTCAGCCGCTGTCAGTGCTGAGCGGGGTCCGAGCGGGAGGAACGGCAGGAGGACGTGAAGATGGAGGGAAACAGCCTCCCCCTGGAGAGAGGAGCTCACGCAAAGACCCAGTCATGGCTCTGGGAGGCCGAGGCGGGCGGATTGCTCGAGGTCAGGAGTTCGAGACCAGCCTGAGCAAGAGCGAGACCCCGACTCTACTATAAATAGAAAGAAATTAATTGGCCAACTAATATATATAGAAAAAAAAATTAGCCAGGCATGGTGGTGCATGCCTGTAGTCCCAGCTACTTGGGAGGCTGAGGCAGGAGGATCGCTTGAGCCCAGGAGTCTGAGGTTGCTGTGAGCTAGGCTGACGCCATGGCACTCACTCTAGCCCAGACAACAGAGTGAGACGCTGTCTCCAAAAAAAAAAAAAAAAAAGCTGATACTGGATTCCAGGGAGAGAAAGACCACTGGGCCAGACCACAGCAGATTTGGAAGCATGGCTAGCCCAGGGGACAGCACTGGCCTTCCTGGGTGGACTGCAGAGAATGAGGCGGGCTTTGCCCATCAGCCAAGTGGTCTTCCCCAAACACGTGAGATGCCGCATCTGCTCTGCCCAAAGCGTTCCACGCTTTGCCCACTTGCAAGGAAAGTCAGGAAAGGGTCTCAGGAGGAAGTGCATGGTCAGCTGTGTTGCGTGCTCCTGAAAGTTCAAGCAAAATCATTCTGGAGGAAGGATCTTTGGGTTAGCCACGTGGAGAGCACTGCTGAGTTGCCGAGAGAAATTTCTTGGGAATCATAGGACCAGAGGCCCCAGCGAGGCAAGCACCAGACCCAGCATGTGGACCAGAAGAAGGGGGCATCGTATCTCTGTCTGTTCCTCTATCTACCCATCTACCTACCTGTGCATCTATGTATCCAACCAATCTCTCTCTCCACCAGTCCACTCATGTATCTTTCCCTCCTTTCATTTGTCTATTTCTCTATCTCTTTACCCATCCACCCATCCACCCGTCCCTGCCTCAGCAGAAAGCACACAAAGACAGAGGCCTAGAGACACGATGGCGTCGCGTCTCCCGTTAGGCAGGTGTTTGCAGTAACCATTGCACGCCCAAGTAGCCGTGTCTGGTGAGGACCAAAAACTCAAGAAAGAGGCTGAGCCCTGGGATAGTGACACAGGAGAGGGCCAGTCCCTGGGAGTGGGCGGAATCCCCCGAGGGAAAGACTTCCCAGGAAGAGAGCAGAGGGGCCGGGGAGAGCCACGTGGTCAGAGCTGGAAAGAGCAGTGAGGACGACCAGAAGCTCACCCCCTCACCCCCCCCCCCCCGGGATCTGGCTCGGGGATCGGGCTGATAAGCCACGGGGCACACCTCAGAGGTTATTTAAGCCCATGCAAGTCAAGCTGCAGGGTGCGAGGAGCAAGAGCACCCCCAGCGAGATTTGTCATTGTGAGGGCGTCACCATGCACCTCGGGACTGCAGCACACCCAGGACGGACGAGCCCGGCTGTGTCCCGTGCCGTGACTCGGGGGGTGCCGGGGACAGGGCTTCGGAGATCCCCGGCAGCACGACAGCCCCTCGGGAGGGCCGCCCTGCCTTCTCTCTGACAAGTTCTGAGCTCTTCTTCCCCCGAGAGGCTGCGGAGAGGCGAGAGATAGATGAAAAGGGCCTGAAGTGTGACATCGGGAGCCCCTTGGGGTGTTCCTCTAAGGAGAGATGCTGGGAGGAGAGAAGGAAAAACGGGGTATGAAAAGCGAGAGAAAACAAAGTATCTTTGTGCCTTAAGTAAGTCAGAATTGTCCGTGCATAATTATTGTTCCTCGAGGCGGGATGGGAGAGGGTATCTGGTGGGATTATGCACCTCGGACGGTGACCTGGTTGCCCTGCCCCTTGCAGAACCCCTGCCTGGGGTTCCAGAACCCGACAGCAGCTCTTCCCTGGGGAGAGCTCGCTGGAGTCACAATGACGCTTAAAGGGAAGCCAACAGCCGCCGCCGGGTGTCTGCGGACCAAGAGCCCCTCTGCCATGCCACCCAGGGCCACCGCCCAGGGGATGCCCGTGGGCCTCCTCATGGCACCCTCCTGTCTCCCTGAGAGGCCCTCACCCCTCTGCCCCTGCCTCAGCGTGGACGTGACAAACCAAAGTGACGTGATTCGAAGGCTTTTATCTGAAATCTACTGGTGCCCACAGAGGCAGCGTGGCCTCGGGCCAGGATGGGCGCGAGGCAAGGAGAGAGGGACTACCGTGTTTCCCCCAAAACAAGACCCACCCATAAAATGAGCCCCAGCGGGATTTCTAAGCATGTGTGCAACAGAAGCCCCACCCCGAAAATAAGCCCTAGCGACGGGCGTGGCTGCGCAGCGCGTCTGCACAACCCGTGCATGTCGTTGCGGAGTGGGAAAGAAGACGAGCAGCCCTTCTCATCTGCCCCGTGAGAGCTCTGTGGCTCGACATGAGAGATTGGGGCCGACGGTTCTAGAGGAAATAGAGTCGCAAGAAATTCAGGATGGGATTTGGGGTTTGGAGAGTGATGATGATGTTCCAGAAGAAGATGACTTCACTCTATTTGAATAAATGTAGACTGTTGTACCGTACTTAAAAAAAAATTGGCACATCCCCTGAAAATAAGCCCTAGGGAGTCTTCTTGAGGAAAAGTAAATATAAGACCCTGTCTTATTTTCAGGGAAACATGGTAGAGAAAGGAAATACTGCCTGTGTGTTATCTTCATATTTTTCTGTTTCCCTCATGCCCTTGCACTTCCCTTGTTAAGGATTCTCACACCCCTCCCTTCACTTCCTACCACTCTGACCCTCGGGCTCCTTCTCTTCCAGCATCTTATTTCTTATTTTGGCCCACACAGCATTTTTTTTTTTTTTAATTTTGGTAGTCCTTATACACTGCTCTGGAAAAATATCATTTTTAGGCTAAAAGATTATTTTCCCAAAGACGGTGGATTAAATAAACACGACTGAAAAGCTACTCAGACGTATAAGTGGGGAAACCAGACAGAATTTACAAAAAATAAAAAATAAATTAATAAAAGGGTTTCACATTTAGAAATGTGATACTGTTTGAAAGGATGCCTGGAAGTCTCTTTTTCTAAAATGGGCTCACTTTTGAAAGTAGCGTACATTACGTGAGTGAAAAATGTGCTGGTTAGCAGAAACTAAATAAAGGTCTGCGTAATTATTGGTTAAAGCTCTGTCTGAACACCCAGATACTACCTTGATAAGCATCTCACTGTCACTGTTCGCCGAAAATATGGGGGTTTGCAGTGAAACTACTCCTAGCTGGAAGAGGTACTTGCCACTTTTATAACCAGATGAAAAAAGATAAACTTTAATTAATTTTAGCATAAAACGGGAAAATCATGTCCTGATTCTCTTAGATGCTAATGCAGCTATTTTCGAAGGAAGAAGATTGACTAGGATTACCGAGCCCAAATCATTCCTCTTCTGTTATCTGAGATGTTTTTTCTGTTCTGTCTGCTCAGCACACATGACTGTGCAGCCTCCCAGCTAGCTAACCGGGGCCCCCGGTAACGGCCGAAACACATATTTTGACAGAAATGAACCGGCATGACTTCAAATAAATGTTTGTGAGCCAAAGAACGTTGAGGCGGACCTTTTAAATAAATGATGGCCACGTTTTGCCATCTGAGAATCAAGTGATACATGAGGCTAAAGATTCTGATTGTGCTTTAAAGCTTTCTTTTTTTCTTTTTCTACTTTAACTTAGAGTCATACTAAAATATTGCAGGATTTATTTGGTCATTGCTATTTGATTTCTGAGAACCACGGCAACTGGAAATTGTTTAGTAGAACAGGATTTCCTCGTTTTTGAGAAAGCCACATATATCAAACACGTGCCACCAACCCTGGCTGCAACCCCGACGGGTAGAGACCCAGTTACACATATTGCTTTATTAGAGTCTGTTTTCATGGATTTTTTTTTTTCCCTTACTTTCCTTCATGTCCTGAAGGACCGATTGGGATGCTTAAGGTTTTGCCCTGGGACTGGACACCAACCAGAAGTTCTCTCCGTGGGTTTTGCTTTGATTTAGTTTCTGGTTATTTTTGCGTGTGTGTGCGCGTGCGTGTTTCTTTTCATGAAGGAAAAAAAGTAAACGCAACATTCAGACAACTTTCCTCTTTCCAGTGAAAATACTTTCATTGGTTCTGTGGAAGTTTCCCTTTCATTACCCACTGCGCAACAGGCCACCAAACGGTGGCAAAGGTGAAAACTCCCCGGGCTGTTTTGCTGGGACAGGGTCCCCCTGGGGGACAGGGTGACTTGCTCATTCGCGTGTGTCTCGGAGGAAGTGGCCTGTTTTTCTCTGATGGCGTCCGGGCCTTTTTCTTAGTATAACTCGAGTTCCAAGAAAACCACGGTTTGATGCTGCGTGAAATCAGAAATGGGTTATAATTATAATCCCATTTGAAAGAGGAGTTTTATCATTTTGGAACTGATGTTCACTTTTCTTCTTTAACTCCAAACCCCTTCCCCCACCCCTGTATCAAATTATTGTGGAGCGTTATCAATAACCCGGTGAAAGTAAAGCTAAACGTCATGGCAAATACCAAACAGTGTCCAGGTTTTCCAAAAAAAACAAATAAAAATTGGTTAAAAAAAAATCAAGGATAGATTTTTTTTTTCATGGCAACTTGCAATAAGCCCTCTCTCTATATTCTAAGCAGAGTCGAGATGGAGAGGCACCCAGCATACAGACCGTCCTAATTGTCTTTCTCATCAGTAGCTTCAGAGGAGTTAAAATTCTCTCATGGTCATTAGTTTCCACGTCTAGCATCTGGCCTGACTAGACCCAGCGCAGAGCATTTCCCAGAAGCTTGGGCCCAGGTGAGGCTCCACTTCCATGGCTCGGCAGAGCCACACACCTGCCCTCTGTGAGGATTCCCCCTGATTTTTTAAAATTTCATTTCCAGGTGATAAGTATTCACCTGGGAGAGGGAGAAGCCGTCCTCTGTCGGGACCCGCAGTCTGTATTCCGTCGTGCGTTCAAGTTCAAGCATAACAGCAATTTCCTGAAATGAGGCCTGACCTGAAGCCCAGGTCCACCAGAGAGGGACCACCGAGATTTATTGAGCAAGCAAAGGTTGCTTGCTACCCTGACAGCGGAGCCCCTCGGTGGGGCTGAGCACAGGCGGTGGGTGGAGAGAAGGTTGGTACTCACAGTCGCTTCCAGGAAAAACAGGCCGACAGGGGGAAACTGTGGCAGGAGAAAGAAAGAAAGAAAAAAAAATCCCTAGTGAGTTCTGAGAATACCTGTAAGGAGACGACGTCTTGGTGTCAAAGTGCGTAAGTCTTGTCCCAAGTGTACGGGAGTTGCAAGAGAGTAAAAGGACTATTTGTGTTTGCGTTCGTTACTAACCAAAATCGCTACGATTACAACACTTGATAATGTCATCTTGTGGTTACCCAGAGGAAAAAAAATGTGCAAAATCAACAAGAGCCGTAGTTTTCCAACACACGCTTTTTGAAAGTGTTTATGGTGATAGCCACAGTCGAATATTAAACATTGGCAGGGCACGGCGACTCATGCCCGTAATCCCAGTGCTCTGAGGGGCCCGGGTGGGAGGACGGCTGGAGCCCAGGAGGTCAAGGGTCAGTGAGCTGTGATCGCACCACTCACCTCCAGCCTGGGCGAGAGCTTGTCTAAAATAATAATAATAATAATTAATATTTAATGGCCAAATTTTTTTTGGTAAGCCCTCCATTTACCGTTTGTATTTTCCATGAATTAGTGAAGACGTGGGATCTTAGATGACAATAAAACCATTCTTAGTGTTAAGAGTCATATGAAGAAAATCCAGAGGCAAGAAACTACATGCACCTGCATGCCCCCCATGGCGTTGGCCATTGGAAAGAGAGCAGAAAACATCTGCTCACCCTAACGAATAAAGGCAAGGCACAGAATTTACTTGAACCTTTAACCTTAGCCAATATCTGATGAGAAATGCAAAGTCAATGGCAACCGAATGTATTTTTTTTTCTTTTTTCTTTAGCTCATAAAACTGCCAGTAAATGTCACGAAATTTTGGTAGCTAATTTCCTACTTCTATTTTTAAGGCCAAATGTCTGGGTCCCAGTGGCGGACCAAGGACACCCAGGATGACAGGGACAGGAGGCCCCAGGACAGGCCACGAGGGGCGTGTTGTCTACGGAGGATGAAAACAGCCAGGCCAGGTGAAAGCCGGCCTTCCTTTACCTCCCGGGTGCTGGCGACTGCTCACGAGCCATCAGTGGCGAAGTGCTCCCCCGCCTGGAGAGACCCCTCCCCCACCCCAGCTCCCCTCTCCCCTCCCCCACCCACCGTCCAGCTCTGTCTCCTGGCTCGAAAGTCCATCGTGGACAGAGAAGGGAAATCTAAGGTTTTTGAGGGGAGGGAGATGTTCAGCCACATCATCCCTTGCTGAGAATCATATTAGTTGCTTTCGCAAAGACAGAAAATCTCATTTAGAGCAAACAAATAGAACATAAAATAATGCTGGGTCACAGCTACCCTGCGCTTTGACTGTCATTCCCCGCCGCGGTTCACGCTCCGGTGATACGTTGCCTGAGGGACTGAAGTAGACCCGAAGCAGGTATCTCCGGAATGTAACGGAAAACCCTTTACCTAATCCCTTGCGTTCGGTATCTGGAGCGAACATGGTACCTTATTCAAAATATCGCCGCCGCCCGTGTCTTCTTGGTGTCATTAGTCTAATGGTTAAGAAAACATCTGGTGGACTTCAATCTCCAAGATGAGAAGAAACGATAGATTCCTTGACAGCTCTGCTGAAATCCATCAACCTAAAGCAAGTGATGAACATTTTGACGTGTTATCTTCGCACTTGATTTATTCTCTGTGATGTGCGCAAACACACACCCCGGCCGTTCCGGGAGAAGAGAATGTAAGAAGGACGCAGGGCGCCGAGGGCCGGGCGAGAAGGCAGAGGAAAGACACACATCAAAGGGGAAGGGTATTTCCAATCCGAGCTCGAGCTGGAAGGCGCCAAATGTGCAGTCCTTTGCACGTATACATGTAGACGGGTGGTGCTTAACATGTGCACACGTGCGCAGTCAGACCTTCACGTGCAAACCTGAGTGGCCGCGGCTCACCGCGTGGACAGCGTGCATTAAGAACCGAGAGGTGGACTCGCGCGTGGAGAATGACCACTGGCTCCCTGTTGTTGAGAAACAGGATTGCACAGACAAAACCAGAGGCGGGCCAGGCAGAGAGGGTCGTTCTAGTCATTAATCCTGCACCCCTGAAGATGTCTGTCCCCTTTTGCAGGGCAGAAGTGTGTTATATCAAAAATGCAAAAAAAAAAAAACTTAAAAATATTTTCTAAGCCTCACGTCGCCTCAGCCTCTTTTGTGCATGCACGCACATACACACACATGGAATGTGCTTTGAACTTGACTTCATGCTGTCGTTCTCTCGTTCAAAATACTTAAGGAGCACCTGTTGCCTGGCGAGCAGTGTGCTGGGTACCAGAGAGAGGCCAAAACAGACAGTGTTTAAAAGCTCAGTGTTTAAAAGGGAAAAAAAAGCAATAGTCCTGTGAGAATAAATAGGCCCGGATCACGAATCCCTGCATCTGAGGATACAGGAAGGCCCACGGGTGACTCTGATGCCCTGAGGTTCAGGTCCCCAGTCCACACGAGATGGCAAAGCAAGCTATCCAAGGTCGTTGAGAACGTGATGAACTTGATTGCTAAGACGGAGAGATGCCCTGGACCACTTATCCTCAAAGCACGGCCAACGACCAGTTCAGACCTTGTGTGACTGCTTACTCGCTTTAAAAAATCTCCAGGCTGATACTTTCGTCAATACGATACGAATGAACTACTAGAAAATAAAATTACAGAAAGCATGCAGAATGCAAGCCAATCTTTTAATTAGACGTGACATTCGCTGACGTAAAATTACTCTGTCCGATGGCTCTAAAACTTTCGGAAAGGTCAGTCTGGATTTCTGTGCTTAGTGCGTCAGAGACCAACGGCACACAGTTTGCACCGACAGCACACAGTCTGCACCGACAGCACACAGTCTGCACCGACAGCACACAGTTTGCACCGACAGCACACAGTTTGTGGGTGGCGGCAGCCGCTCTCCTCTCGACTGTACCCTGGAATTTGTGCAAAGGTGAAGAAATGTAGCAGGATTGTGCTTCACGGAGGCAGATTTGAAGCTCGTTTGGGTCTGTACCAAAGGAGGATTGATTTGTGTGTCGATGTGGGTCTAACATCGGGGTAGTAGGAAAGCTCAATTTTAATTGCAGGCAATAAAGTGGAAGAGTTCCTGAACACTACAAGCACTTAGCAAAAATGTGCTGAATGGATGAGAAAATGCACCAGCCGACGGTTGGCAGTCCGTGTTGGGAAGAAGACGGGGGCGGGATGAGGAGAAAAAGAATGTCAGGACAGATCATGGGGCTCGATAGGCACCTACAAAAGGTGAGCAAAGGCACAGGTGTCATCAGAGAAAATAAAGATGCCAAAGTTGTTCATATTTGGGAATGAACCAAATGAAATGTAACAGAGAACAGCGTAGATAGATTTACTGTCTCTAGAAAAAAAAATGCAAGCCATAAACTGACTCAACCGTATAAAAAAAAGACCAAAGACTTAGGGCTCTTTGTTGGCAGCAAGCTTAACGGTGAGATTAAGCTGCACAATCTTAAATTTCGTCAATAAAAGCTCAGTGTTTAAAAGGGAAAAAAAAGCAATAGTCCTAAAATATTCAGCTCAGGGCTGGACCACTTTACAAGGGGTTTTGATAGATTAGAGAGATGGAGCAAGCACCACAGCACCAAGGGACCTGAATACACAATGGCTTGATGTCAAGTGAATGAGAATGGTGAGAAGGAAAAGGTATTCCGGAAGCTGTTTCTGCCAGGAGGTGCAAAGGAAGGACTGGCATGGCACAGTCTACCCCAGGCGTCCTCAAACTGTGGCCCTCAGGCCACATGTGGGTGTTTTTGCCTGTTTGTTTTTTTACTTCAAAATAAGATATGTGCGGTGTGCATAGGAATTTGTTCATAGTTTTTTTTTTAAACTATAGTCCGGCCCTCCAAGGGTCTGAGGGACAGCGAACTGGCCTCCTGTTTAAAAAGTTTGAGGACCCCTGATGCCCTAACAAAGAGTCCCCGTCTCAACTCCCACCCAACCAGATCCTCAAAAATGCTTGCGGCCCCTTCAGTACCAGTAAACACAAAGGAAATAAAAAGGAGGCAAAAACAGAGTGAACAAAGTTTATGGTCTTTGCCACTTTGGGTAAAAAAAAAATTGTAGTTTTACGTATTTTATACAGGCGCCCATGCAAATGTGTGACCTTAAGCCTTAATGTTTTTCAACTCCACATAAACCCGCCTAGACTAAGTAGGCAGTTTCTATCATCCGCAGTTAGTAGTGTTCGTCTCCTCCTTTCTAGTGATTTTATTTATTTGCTTTCCTTTTTATTGCTTTGGCTAAGGATAAAATAACTTGACATATTAATCATGATGATCTTTGCTCCTTAATTTATCATATATATATATATATATATCGTGTTTCATCATTAATATTTGACTCTGAGTTTAAAGCATTTTTAATCAGATACGGGTACTCAATTCTACAAACACGTTTGGTCCTGAAATCCTGCTATTGCAGAACAATTAATGCTTTCTACAATAACAGGATTTTGTCAAATCCCCCGGCTCTTGTGAAGACTTTTATGGAAATCAGCTTAAGAGATGCTGCTCTGGAGGAACACAGAAGCACACGTCGCTTTGATACTGCCTGCGCAATTTCCATATCCCTTGTAGAAACAAGGCTTTTGTGGTACTGTTGCTACACTTTTCAGGAACATGAAACGGCACCTTGCTCTCGTCCATCAAAGCCTAAGAACTGGATTAAAGACCTTGGATCAAAGAGGGTTGCCTCATGTGTCTTTAGAAACAATGAAAACCTTCATCAGGAACACACACTTCCCATTGCTTGAGGCTCCTGGCTCAGAGAAACCATCATTTCCTCGACTTTATCCTTCATCTATTTTTTTTATATATATATATTGCTTACGATCTTATAGAGCTAGGTGTCAGCAGCTTAGCTTTCTAGACTCTGAAGATTATTATGAAGAGCGAAAAAAGTAAGAAAAAGAAATCACGAAATCAGTAAAAAGATAAACCAAAAAGACAAACACAATTTTTTTAATATTTTATTTGATCTCTCAAAACGGTAAGAAAAAAAAATATCAGAGAAAGAAAAAGCAAACTGTGTAACTATACAACGTATAAGACTGTAGTAAACAGCTAAAAATTATATCCAGTCCCTCAGGACTAGATTAAAGCAATAAAAAAAAAAAATTCAGTGCTCCGTTAGGTCTTGAAACCAAAGTGTGTTCAAGTGAGTTAATGACAGTTAATTCTGTACATGGAGCCCGGTTCTTGAGTCACCTGCAAAGAATCCTTGGCTGGGCCACACTGCTTGGTCACCCAGCTACTCTCTGTAGCATGGTCAGCACGCGCCCCTGGTCCAGGGGGAGGGGGCGGGGCTTCAGATAGTTCCGGAACTTTCTGCACGGCACTTAACACACAGGCAGCAGGAAATGCAGACCACGTGCCAACAGACTGAGCTACTACAGTCCAGACCCAACCAGAGGCTCCGAGGAGGGCTGTGGAACTTATTAGATTTCTGTATTTCTTTTTTTTTTAATGAGATTACTTCCTCGGCAGGATGCCGAGTACAGCAGGTTCATCGTCTGGTCATCTGTGTGCCTGCCTTTGTTCCCGCACGCCACCCTTGTCTCAAGCCCAAGCAGCTCTTTACATCGCAAATGCAGCGACAGCATCCTCCAAGATCAGTGAGACCCACGGGCTCCGCACGGCGGCCGAGCAGCTCAAACCTGCGCCGGCTGCCCCAGCATCACGGGTGTGTTCACGCACAGAGCTGAGAGTCCAGGACGCCCTGACTGGCTGGTACCCGCCAGGTTAGAAAAGAAGAAAAACTCTTCCGAGGCTTTTACACAAGACTTTTTCTGCGGGCGGTGGGGACTTGGTCCACACCCTCTGTATCTGCTGATCTCAGACTGGTGGGGAATGTCTCTTGTTAGTCCCCCAGTTTATTTTTTTTTCTTTTTTGAGACAGAGTCTCACTCCATTGCCCAGGCTAGAGCGAGTGCCGTGGCGTCAGCCTAGCTCACAGCAACCTCAAACTCCTGGGCTCAAGGGATCCTCCTGCCTCAGCCTCCCGAGTAGCTGGGACTACAGGCATGCGCCACCATGCCCGGCTAATTTTTTTCTATATATATTTTAGCTGTTGAATTAATTTCTTTCTATTTTTAGTAGAGACTAGTGGAGACGGGGGTCTCACTCTTGCTCAGGCTGTTTTCGGACTCCTGACCTTGAGCGATCCTCCTGCCTCGGCCTCCCAGAGTGCTGGGGTTACAGGCGTGAGCCACCGCGCACGGCCTAAGTCCCGAAACTGTTAACACGGGACAGTCTCGCATCCTTTCCCTGGTGAACGGTTTGAATAAAGATTGTGAGCTACTCTGCAAGGCCTTAGATATATAATATATATATATATATGCATATGATAAAGATGGCGTTGATAATAGGTACTTGGAGTAGTTAACACTTTCTAACACCCTTATTATCATCTCAACATTGTATTGTCTTTAGTTATCACGTTCATTTTTGTCTTCCCAGCATTGACTAGATATCAACTCAAAACAGATTTTTAAAAATCATCTGTCGGGGAAGTCTGACTATCGTTCAAAAATGTCTTGATAAAAAAAAAAACAAAAACAAAAACAAAAA